CCCAAGGGAGTGGAAATGGATAAAAACGGAACTGCCTTGAGATGGAAATTCATGAAGGAGAATTTAGTTCTGACATATCACTTAGTGTGAGAAGTGAATGTAGATTTCCTAATATGTATAATGGAAATGACTGCAGATTTTTGGTTAGTTATGTAACTAGAGATTTCCCCAACAAGCTGTGAGTATAGAGGTTAGAGTACATAATTAGACATGTGTATTAAAAAATGAATAAACAGTACTCAATGTATTTTGTACCATTGGGAATTCAGGGCTAGTTATATACAATTTCATTTATTTGTACATTGGTTTCAGAGATGATACATCAGGGATAATTTGGCCTTATGAATTTGTTAATAATTCTGAAACACATATGCAGTACCTGTGTTAACTGAACTGTGACAGAATCTGAAGTGAAAAGAAAATGAAACAACAAACTAGCAAAAAAAGCCCTGTATGAATACGTATGAAGCTTGGATAGTCTGCAGAGCAACAAACATCCACAAGAGCCAGAGCTTTGCGGCAAGAATATTCTTCATACCCTGTTCAGCCAATAGCAGAAAATAGTTCAATCTAAGGGCATATCCTGCGAAAGAAAGAAGGCAAGGAAATGTACACTTCAAAATTTGTGCTCTTATGGTCTCCATGTAGAAAAGAGAAATATAAAGTACAGGATCAAAGCTTCAGAGCTTTACTGACAACTGAAATATGAACATCAGGTCTTTTCAAATGCTCTTCAAATAGAAGTCAGTGTTAGAATCTTGTGCTTATTGCACATATCCTAAATTTTTTTTGTTGGAGGTAAACCTTTGAGGCTCAAGTCCATATCTTATTCACTGCATCAGGTAACTTCTAAACATATCCTTGCTGCCCCCTTTATAGTGTTAGTTTGACCTGACTCCCTCCTCTTTGCGGCTCAGCCAGAAATGTCTCTTAGCTACCTACTTATTTAATTGACCTTCTGTGGCTTATACATCTTTCTTGGCACCTTTGAAATATCAAAAGTACAATCTGCTCTCTCTCTACCATCCTGATGTCTCTCAGGAAATCCTGTGCTTACTTTGTTGCAGAGCTGTCCCTAAAAGCAAGAGCAGTAATTATTTTTGTATTCAAGAACTTCTCTGTAGCTCTCTCAGAAAGAAGATATGCTGTGCTATATTTGGATATAAGGTGACATTAAAAAGCATGCTATTTTTATAAAATACTATTGTCTTTGGTAATACCAGTGAAATTCAAGATGATTAAACCTCCTACTGATTTCATTGTGAGGCAAAAGTGAGGAAAAACTATTCTATTTAAGGTTATGATTTAGCGTTTAAAAATACCAATCTTAAATAAAGCTGATTGCTATCTTTTAATTTTAAAAAAATTATCCTTTGATATAAAATCTACAAACTCTCATGGTGTTTGTCTACACCATAATTCTTGTCTAGCTATCTATACTATCTTACATACCTATTTATTTATCTTTATGAATTTAAAATTAATTGTCAAGTAATGTCAGGTATTCAACATATTCAGAAAAAAATAGTCCATAGTTTGCTTGTATATTTAGTTCCATGGAAAGGACAACAGATACAAAGAATGTACTAATACTGTTAGATAGAGAAAGCTCTTAGCTACAAAGCACCCCTTTTCAATGTATTCACAACTATTAGCTATACATTTTCACCAGTGATGAACAAGAGCCTGCATGCTGCTCTCATAAAAACTCACATGGCCATCTGGAATATGGCTTGTTTGTCACATTGCTGCTACCACTGCAAAAATTCATCACTCACCACTTCACTGTGTTCGTATTCACTGTTTAACATCCACAAACATTCAGCAAGCACCAATGAATATCAACAGGTGCTGTCTTTTCTCATGGAGGAATTCAATGACACGTTTTGCACTTCCATGTAAAGTGTTATTTTGTCAGACTGCCCCTCTGTGCCATCTGTCATGTGGCAACAAAATATAACAAAACACTGTCAGGGAGGTTTGCCTTCTACTGCCATACCACCAACACTGCCTTTGATGCCATGGATCAACATAATAAAATAGGCGGCATTACTTTTGGAGCAGCCCTCATGTGATGCTTCCCATTGGTTTCATAGAATCATAACGTTTGAATTGAAAGAGATCCTTGATGGTCATCTAGTCAAACTTCCCTGCAATGATCAAGGACACCTCCAGCTAGATCAGGTTGCTCAGAGCACTGTCCATCCTGACCTTCAGTGTCTGCAGGGGCAGGATAGCCACCACCACTGTGTGCAACTTAGTCTTGTTACATCACCACCCTTACCATAAAAAGGACTTTTTTCTTATCTATCCATCCATTAGTTTGAAACCATTTCCCCTTGCGCTATCACAACAGACCCTGTTAAACATTCTGTCTCTTTCTTTCCTATAGCACCCTTTTAGACACTGATAGGTCACTGTCAGGTCTCTCAGAAGACTTCTTTTCTCTAGGCTGTACAGCCCCAGCTCCCTGTGTCTGAAGTCTTCTCAGAGAGATGCATTTTTAATGATACTACGGTTCTCGTAAGCAGTAGTCCAGCATGAACCATTTGCAGATATGTACCAGAAACAGTTTTGACAATTATTATGTAATGTTGTAGAATTCTTGTCCTTAGTTTTGCCTTAAAGGCCCATGAGTTGCCTGCATATCTTTTACTATTGTGGACCAGACCCGATGACATTGGGCCACTAGCTGCTGCTACAAGGCTGATTTTGACTGAGAAGCAGTGAATTTGCAGGTCATTTTCCTGCAGTGGATCTGCAGGTTACAACTAGATGTGGAAAAAAGTCCTTGCCCTGCATCCAACCTTAACGAATAGGAAAATCCTTTATAATCAGTACAATTCTCCATGTTGGCTGTGGGAGACTGTGTTGCATTCATGTTCTTCTGCCATCAGAATTGCCACTGTTTGGATTTGTCTGTGCAAATACACTTCTCTTTGTTCCTGTATCTTGCTCCTGTATCCCATGTACTCTCTATATATACTTTCGTAATATTTGTATTTTTGTTCTAGAAATGTTTCTTTTTGTCCTAAATAGACATTTAAGTATTCAGTTTAATGGATACTACCTTAAAACAGTGCAAAATGGGAATCCTTTTGTCAAGGACATGAATTAGTGGGTGTAGGTTTAAGTTTAAGGAACACAAGAAGGAAAATTCTGAAGGATAGAAAACTTTCATTTTGTGGCTTACATTAGATTGGTGTCATCTTTTTGTTTGTTTGTTTAATCCTAGAAAGTAGGTGCAACAAATATGTATTTTTTGGAAGACTTACTGTATTTTCCTTCAGTGGTCAGTGACTGTAGATGTCACCTGACAGACTGTTTATTCAGATGGTGCTTGCAGCATGTGCTTGAGTACTAATTCACAAATGAGGCAAAGTGCAACCAGCTACAGTACAGCCAAATCCTGTTCAAGTTTTCATGCTCATTACTATGTGAACTCAAGCAAGTCTACAACCTAGTATAGAACATTAACAGCATGAAACCTTGAGCAGTATGTCTGCATTTTGGCAAATGAGATTTACTATCTCATCCCATCTAATAGAGTATTTAGAGTTCTGTGCCTGAGACCTCTTTAGATGAGCATCTATAACCTCCATGTAATTTTTTTTTTTAATCTTCAGTCTGAATGATTGCATCTTTTGAATATGTTTCTCCATGCTTTAGTATGTTTGTTGTCAGGAAAAAATGAAAGCTGGGTAGCCTGTACTATCACAACTGCAATTCCTAAGAAAAGACAAACACCCACCTACATTAAAATGTACTGTGGGGAAAAAAACTGTCAGTCCCAGCGCTTTTATTTATATATGTAGTCCTATACACATGCACCTATATGTATATAAATAAAATGGGCTGATGTGTACACCACCACAAAACAGATCTGCCACCATCCCTGACAGTCTGCTGGAAATTGAGTTGATTGAATATGACTCAGACCCTCAGACTCATTGTCCAATTCATCAGTGAATGCTCTGCAGGCTCATTGATTATATGTAAGACCAGCGGGAATGCTTGGCTTGCTTCATGGGGCTGTCAGTACTGTGCTATTATAAACATCCTCTGATATATGCATGTAAATAAGTTCAGATTGCTTAAATTTGACTTCTTAGATACACTTTTTTTTTTTTTTTGATGTACAAAAAAGGAGACAGAAATACATACGGAGACCATTTTGTGAAGAAGTTGAGAGCGTGGACAGTAAATAATTTTTTAAGTTAATTAATGTAACCTCTGACAGGTAGGCGCTCCAGACTGTGTATTTTTGTGCTTGTTTAAGGAGAAAAAGGGAGCGTTTCTGTATATGGGTTTTTATTTAGACCAAACTTCCAAATTAGAGAAAGATTGTGAATGAAAGTGGCTTTCCATGAGCAAGTATGTCACATGTACACCACTTAAAATATTTTTCTTCTAAAAATTATGCATATGGAAAAAATACAATTAGACCTCAGGAAACTGAAATTTTACCAGTTTGTGAGTGTAGTTGTGCCTGTTCACAGGAAAACAAAATCACTTTTAAATAGGAACAGTAGGTGTCGTTGCACCTTTCGTTTCAGTTTCCTGGTCGTCCCTACAGAAGTTATTTGAAGGCTCGAATGTGCCACCGTGTCCCTTACTTAGGGAAGGACAGCAGAAGCCCTTTGCTGGTTGCTGCTCGTCTCACAGGCTGTACTAATTATTTCGTTGTGGCATATGGCCCGCTGGCAAGATATATAGAAAAAAATCTAACCACAGTTTTACAGTGGGATCTTTCTGCATCTGCATGAGCGCCCCCAGGAAAATGGCACAAGTTAAGTCGAGCTTTGTATGAAAAAGCACCCTTTCTCTTTTTTTTATTTTATTTTTTAATGAGAACAATAACTACTATTTTTTTTTGATCTACAGTCAGGCTAAATTTTTTTTTTTCCAGTCTTCTGTCCCCTGTGAAGAATTTTGTGAAATCTATGTGTGCTATGGCAACAAAGAATGTGATGAAACATTAGCTTTCTTGTCTTGCCTTCCCTAGGATGCAACTTACATGAGGAAAAATGTTCCTGTGATTTTGGGTATCAACAAAAACCCTCCCCGTGAACCTCTGAGTTTGGTGAAAAGAGAAAAGTAAGGAATATCAGCTTTTTCACACACACACAAATATAAAATGTCATAATATTTGTTTGTTGAACACTGAGTCATTTCAGAATACTCTTGCGTTATGATAGACAACTTTTAATAATTGTGCTTAGGGGATGTATGGATGAGTTTTCTGTAACCACAGTATTTGATCTACTTTTCCTGCTCAGGAGCCAGAAGTCCCAGTGAGGAGAAGGAGGCTGGTGATGCTGCAAGGGCAGGCTGAATACACAAAGTGTGCTATTGCTGTTTGCACTGATCTCATTAGTTTATTTACACATCCTGATTTTACTTTCTCCCTGACCAACTCCCTGTACCTTATGTTTCCTGTGTGCTGGTTTCAGTGCTGCTCACGCAGAGAGAACAAACAATTCAATCAGTCTGCAGAGTTTGCAGAACAGGCTTTGCAAGCCTAACTCTCATGCTGCCAGCAGACAGGTTCTGAAAAAGTGAACTGCCTTCCCACTTGTGTTTGTTTTTAAATGGCAAGTCATTACTCCTGGGATAGCAACCCATTCTCTCATCTCTACTGCTGAAGCAGTGTTTGTTTTTTCATGACTTTTGAAAGGAATGTTTGGGTTGAATTATAAGGGCTCTCTCTGTGTTGTCTTGTGAACTCTCTGGCTCAAACACCACATTTAGGTGCATGGTCGTCTTGCTGACCACAAGTTTGTAAATGAAAGTCCACTTTGTGAGTTTAACTGGTCTGAAAGCATGAAAGTTCCCACAAAAACAGCCTCTTCTCTATTTAATACTTTACTTAAGTCAGTGGGAAAAATAAGGGGGAGTCAAAAATCTACTGGCTTAAATATTCAGAGGACTTAACAAAAACTGCTTTTGTAAGAAATCTGTTCTCCACTTATGATGACTGGTGTGTTCTGGAGTCTTCTAAACTTTTCACCCTCTGTCACTACTCCGGATTTTTATTTAGGTGATCATTGCAGAAAGATCGAGTAACTCGATGGAATCATGTGATGGTAAATTTTGCAGGCTGAATTTTTGTTGTGTATCCAAAAATCTGCTGTTGTGTGTAATTGTGTACTATGGTGTATTACTGTTACAAGAAAAAGGTTTTCAGTTGAAGTTGCCACCTGCTGTTAATCACGTTTGGTTATCAGCCTTTGTCATTTTTTTCTGGTTTGTTTTCAAATTGTTTTCTATGTTTTGTTTAAATTTGACTTAAGTACCTAGGATTAGAACTGTGTGAAAAATGACAACATAAAGGAATTGAAATACAGTTAAGCAGACACTTCTGCTCTATGTTCATTTCCTAGAATTCTAAAATGCCAAGAATACCAATTTTTCTATGGAAAAATTTAGCAAACTTAAAAGAAACTTCTGAACATTCATACACTTAGCTGAGGTGAACCCAAATACTAGGTACTTCGAGATTCTCTTGTTGAATGAATAGCACTAAAGCCAAACCCCCATAGAGATGAGAAGTAGAGTTATCAAGTGTGTTGAACGATTTGAACTGGACAATGGGGACGTTTTTGAAGCACCCTGGAGCAGAGGATTCAGGAAACAAACTGTTGTCGTGGCTTCTGAGTCTTTCTTAATGTTCATATCACAATATTTGAAGGATTAAGTGTTTCAAGGAATGGCTTGAAACTGTGAGTTTGTCGTGAGGTGGTGGAAGGAGGTTCAGAACAATCTGTGTTGGCTGCTTTCCAGCAGAGGATATGCATAATAGCTAATGATTTCATATAGTGGAGAATGGAGAAGCAAAAAATCGGAGTTCACTGAAAAACAGGGAGACTTTGATGTTGTGAAAATATTACATATATGAGTGTGCATGTGTGAGCATGTATGCAGTTTATAACATATATTTCTGGCTTTTCAGTTTCCAGGGAGGTGGTAAGGGGCAATAATATGTTTATAGAATCAGGGGCTATGGCAGCAGTACAGAATGGGCAGAAGTGGAAGAAATGTGTTTAGCCTTTGTTTCCTTCAAGCTTTTCTTAGAGTATTGTAGATTACAAAAAAAAAAAAAAAAAAAAAAGCCCAGTCAAAATACTGACATTAAACAAAGCCAGATGTAGTTAAGTAGCAAAATATCCAGAAGAAATGACTTAATGTACAAGCTATGTGTGGATTAATGCAACTCCCTGTACCTCCCCCTACTGAATACCTCTCTCCTTTCCTCAGAGAAACCCCAAATCAAAACAAAACAGAGATGGGGGGGGAAAAAAATACAACAACCTCAAACCATAAAACTTAAGAATCTAAAACTTGCAGCCAAGCCAATCACCGTAAGGCAATTTGTTAATGGTTTTGGCAGAAATGATCCTGTTCAGCTTGTCTTCCTGCCATGCTAGCAAGCTAGCATTTATCCATATGTGAAATGTTTTATTTCCCTGAACAATATTTGAATGTTTTCTTCTTTTCTCTGAAATCTGAAGGATGATCATAATTCTACTGTTGTAACTGAGAAGAAATCAGTTTAAAAGCAGTGCCCTTTTATAGTTGATTTTGTGAAATCTATTACTATCTAAGGCCTTAAGAGTGTAACTTAGAAGCAATTTGGATTCTCTCCAAATGCTTATATTTCATGTATCAGATCATATGTTTTTACTGGTTATACAAAACTTGGTGAGAAATATTTAATTAGAATAGTAAATAAATATGAAAATGTCACAGATAATGGCAGTGATAAGGGAAATCTCACCACATTACCCTTCTGGATCTTTCTGCTGTAGGAAATAATAGAAATTGTATAATTCACAGTAATTTTTACAGCTAGAGGTACTTATACACAGGTGTGTCACAATTTGGTCAGTGGAGAGTGTGACCTCCATTGTAATTCATTAGGCCTGCAAAAAACTTCATGTAACTGTAATATCCGGAGCCTGACATGATGGCTTCCAGATGTTCACAAGAGAAAACTTTTCAGATGATGATAGAAAAATAACAATGGAATACAAAAATTGGGTTTTGTTTTGGATTTATTTCATTTTATTGAGATCTAAAACCCTTAATTTATTTCAGTTAATTTAATTACATGTCAAGAAGGATAGTTTGTTGTAAAGTGCTCATATGTCCCAAGAGTAAGTATACCAGGCTGTTGTTCAGGGAGAGGGGGGTTGAAATTCAAACCTGCTTTTTTTTTCAAATTCCATTGGCCACAGTTTTTTGCTGGCAGACTTAAATATTTCTTTCATAAATAGGTATTATGCTAAGTTTGCTATTCTTACTCTTGAAGGTAAATTGATTTTCTTTAGGTTAATAAGAAGGGGGAATGATTACTAATCGGACTCTTTGTCTGTGGATATTTGTTCTGCAGGTATTTTTTTCACTCTTCCTTTGGAGCCTTTCGCTTGTTTTTAGCATCTGTGTACTCATAAGATAGGCATAGATTCACCACTAGAAGATAGTATATCTGTACTAGCAGACATAAAATGACTTGGTATAGCAACTCAGAAGTCGTGTTTTATTCAAATTGTTACAAGTTCACTTACAAAGAAGAAAGTAATATGAACTACTCTAATGGTGAATCAGAGGGAAGGAAAGGATTACATTGAAATAGCAAGATTCATACTATTTCATTAGCTTCTGCTCACTTATTTTTTCCACGTCACCCAGCCAGACTGCATTTTTCTCCAGTTATCTTGCTTTTCATGTACTTTCATTTGAGAAAAAGATCATGTCTTTATTAAGGGGAACTGTTGGTGTAAGGCTCCTGCTGGCAAAAATAAATAAATAAGCAAGTCTCAGCTGTGCTCATTCTGAATACTCTTGAGGACTCTGGTGTTAGCAACTGGGTTGTTGCTGGTGTAACTTTCCTTTGTAAATTCATTTGAAGCTTCTAATTAAGAAATGTTTGACATGGCTGTTGGTGTACTGAGGCTAGGAAAGGGGACTGCAAATATCAGAACACATTGTTAAAACAAAATAACTATGAAAGTAGTAGTGACTGACTTGAATGTGATTCCTGCTGTGTCTCATTTCCTAAAACCAGGAGATATTCTGTCTGCTGTAACATCTGTTTTTTCTATCTTCTTTGCTCAGTGCAGAGATCCTATAGCTTCTTTAGATTTGTCAGGTATTGCAAGATATTGTTTAAATTTTCACTTCAGTTATTGCTTAGAATCAACAAAGTTACTGTTTTGATGTTCACTTGAATGAGGAAATCCAAACCTCTGCTTTACTTTATCATGTCTCTTTCAAGCCTAATGTGATGAAGGAGGTCAACTTCAAAGGGTTTCATTGATTTTATGACTTTCTAGTTAGCATTGGTAAAAACAACAGTAAAGATGGTTAGAAGCTGGAGAGGGGGTTTACCCCTTCTCCCTCCCCCATGTTATGACAATGAAGAGTCTAAAGCTATTTTTAATTCAAGCGCTAGAATGTTACGTACTTTCATTGCTATAATTTCTATGTTCAAAATGCTGCTATTGAGCTGCAATGCAAGTTTCAGATGTGCAGATAGAGCAAAGGAAGTTTATTTTGTAGATCCTTCTGACAGATTCATTAACATCTCAGAAAAAGTAATTTTGGAGCAAGGTTCTTCCATACTGCTCTCTGGAGCTGTACTTTTCCTGCTCTCCAGCATCACTGATTTCTGTTCACAGGTCTTTTCCCTGTTTGTGTGTTGTTTTGTAGCACGTTGCCTCCCGCCTCCTGTCCAGTTTTTGAGTTTTCATGCTCACTGACCAGAGTTAAAAGGGATAGTAGCAAAGAGCAGTGAGTGTGATTAGAGCATTAGAGAATATTAGAGTTCTGTAAAGAGTGCAGAGTAGATAGTAAAAAGTTCCTAAGTGGAGATAGTTACAAAGGAAAGTATTTTAAAAGGATTTATTTTATGCATTGTCTCTTCTGGTTTAGGGAATTTGGAAAAAAAAAAATTCGAACTACCTATGTAGACAAAATGTTGTCTCGTGTTCTTGTTTACAAAAGTTGTAAGAACAGCTACTTGGGCAACTTTCAGGTTCAGAGAAGTCATAATAACACTGAACTTTAAAACAAGTCCAGTATGTTAAAATTGGATTGGATTCTTTCTGAAAGTAATCTTTAGTTGTTTAACAATCTTAGCTCGTTAAAATATCTCAGTTGTTTTAGTTCTTCACTCTAGGCAATACATTTGTGTAGGAAGACAGTAAAACAATCAAATGAGGAAAAACTAAATGGAAAGAAAAATTATGAAGCATATGAGTGCAGGGAAACATGAGTAGAAAAAGTGGAAAAAACAGCAACGATGAAAAATACATGGATGGTAGGTGGAGAAAGTGAAGTTAAAGGAAAAATCTCAAAAGAGATGGATATCTTATCCTAAGCAACAAATAATAGGACAAGAAAAAAGGACCTCAAATTATACCAGGGGAGATTTAGTTTGGATATGAGGAACAATTTCTTCACTAAAAGGATTGTGAAGCATTGAAACATACTGCCTAGGGAAGTATCTGATTCACCATCCCTGGAGATACTTGTAAGATGTGAAGATGTGCTTTGGCACTGCTAGGATAATAGTTGGACACAATGACCTTAGAGGTCTTTTCCAACCTAAGTTATTACACAAGGACTGATCCAAAAGTAATGTCTCTTCTTTTATTACGTTGGCCCACAACTTCAGAGGTGGATGTTGGTGGTATGGTAGTAGAGGTTGACTCTTCCCACCAATCTTCTTGTGTTTTGTTGCCATCTGACAGATAGCAGCAGAAAGGCAATCTGATAGAATGGCATCTGGTATAGAAGTGTGTATGAAGCAAAGGTGTGGAATTGAATTTCTCTGTGATGGAGCAATGGCAGACACAAACATTCATCTACACTTGCTGAATGTTTATGGAGACCACAGTGGATGTGAGAACAGTGAGGCAGTGAGTGGTACCTGTCAGCAGTGGCAACAGTGACAGTGGATATGATGGTGCAGATTTCTATGGGTGTGATGTGCAGGCTCTTGTTCAAAGTGAATAAAAATTCATAGCTAAGGGTGGTAACTATGTTGAAAATTAGTGTTCTGTAGCTGGGAATTTATTCTATCTAACTGTGCTCTTTATATCTGTTGCAGTTTCCATGGAAATAAATAAGAGGCATTATTTTTGGAGCTACTTACATATGTAATGTGTGATGAGAGAGTATGCTAGAGGTAACCATCCATCAGTTCTTCTAGAGGTGAAGTTCTGTCTGAAGAGGTATGAAACAACTTCATATTTTGAACTGATAACTTATTGTGCATCTTTATTTTCATGAGATAATTTTCCTTGATAGCTTACACAGTAAAGGAGAAATAATGTCTTTTTGAACCAAGTGGTCATTTACTAGAAGATTCCTTTTTCTTGTGGCATTTTTGTACAGTTTATCTGAATTCTTACTGTATTTAATCCAACCCTTTCTCAGATTCCCCTGGGCTTCTTGTTTTTCTGAATGATCTTAAGTATTTTTTTTTTTTTTTTCATCACTTATGCATTTTCATGTAACTGTGGGATATGAGCCTGCAAAATGGGAAAGTCAATCCTATTAAAAGCAATGATAAGTCCCCTAAAATAGAATGGAAATTAATTCTCTCTTTTTTTAAGATTTACAACTGGCCTTCACATGAAATGTGTTCATCTGTGTCACTAAAGAACATGAGTGAACAAACCAGTGTTGCTAAGCTGTTCCCCCTTTGCCTGCTTACCTTTACACAGCAGGGTGATAAGAAAAGTTGCAAACTGGAGGGAAAAAAATTCCATCCTATGTTTCTGTGATCTTCTACTTGTTGTATTTTGTAAAGTGTGTTAGATAATGTTCTATAAAAATATGCTTAAAGAGAGATTATTTTTATATTTTGCTTTTTATTTAACAATTTACATAAAGCTGCCTGAAGAATAGCAAAGCCCATCCGTTTTTTTTTTTTTCTGATACTAGCAATGGAGAATTTACACAGATTTTTCTCTGAATGGTTTTTAACATTCTGAACAATGATTTGAACACCTTTCTGTGTAAGCTAAGAATTCTGTGTCTTTCCAACTTTTTTAGCTCCTTACGCTTACCTGAAACATCCTGATTCAGACATTCATGGTATTGAAAACTCTGTCATGTACCTTAATGCCATCTTCTGTGTCTGAATGTTTATATGTGATATTTTCTTGATTCTTTGGTTTATTTTATGTTTTCTAATCCCTTCTCCCAGAGTTCTGGGAAGATAACCTTTAACATTCAAGCCAAGAAAATAGAAAAACAAAAAACCCTGAGAGTGTGTCAATGTGGTGTTTTGAAAGGCAAATGCATGTTTACCCTGCAAGGTAACTGAATTAGAGCAGCACCAAGACTGAGCTAATGCAGTCTGCCTCCCAGCAATTGTACAGTTTCCAGATCCAAGTTGTTTTATGGCCAGCTATCTTAATGCGGAAGCTGTGAATGTGTGGTTTTACTCATTTGTCTGGAAATAACCTTAGTTTGAGATCTGTTTTGTGATGCTATTTCATAGATGAAAGTAGACAACTGGGGCCAAAGAAAAGATATTTCAAGCACTTCTCTCACTTTCTGCCAAAACAGCTGTCCAGGTATACACAGGACACATGGATTAGTTGAGGGAAATCAGTAAATTACTGCTTTCCAAAAATCTAAGTGATATTTAATTTGCAGTTAGCTCTCCATGCATAAAGCCAATTAGCTCCATGGCCTCAATTCAAAAGTCTGCTAGGAGTCTAGCTCTGTTTTACATGGTTACTCTTCTCTGATATTTTTTAGATAAGGTTACTGATAAGAACAACTCTCAGATAAATAACATTTCTCTGAAATCAACCTAAATCTACTTGCCAGCCAAGCTAAAAAGAAACACGTTATTCTGTGACATTTTGATGTGTAGAGCCAGTTGTCCAGGCAGCTGTTGAATAGGGTAAGATCTCACAGCCTCTCTGGACAACCTTTTCATCACATTCAGTGGAAAAACATTTTTCTGATATTTGGACAGACACCTACTGGGTGTCTGTTTGTCCCTATTTCCTTTTGTCTGTGCACAGGTATTTCTATAGGTTGAGAAGAGCCTACCTGAGTCTTCTCTAGGCTGAAGAGTCCCAGATTTCACAGCTACCCCTTATAGGAGAGCTGCTGCATCCCTTTTAACCAGCTTTGTAGCCCTCTGCTGGGGCCACACTCCAGTATGTTCTTGTCTCTATTCTATAGGAGAAGGTCAGAACCGGACAAAACACTCCAGTATTGACCTCACCAATGCTGGGCAGAGGGGAAGGCTCACGTCTCTCACCCTGCTCACAATACTTTGCCTGATGCAACCAACAGTACAGTTAGCCTTTTCCTGTGGCAAAAACAGGTTGTTGCCTGATGTTCAACCTGTCTACCAAGACACCAGGTCCTTTTCTGCCTTGCTGTTTCCAGCTGAGTGGCTTGCAGCATGTTCTGGCAAGTGGGATTGTTCTTCCCCAGGTTTAGGACTTTGCACTTCTCCTTCCTGAATTTCATGATGATCCTGTCAGCCCATTTCTCTAGCTTGTTGAGGTCCCCCTGATTAGCAGCGTGCACCTCTGGTGTGTAAGTGGCTCTTCACCATTTTGTGTCATTTTTAAACTTGTTGACAGTAAACTTCTGCACAGATACATTCCAATAATTCTCTTCCAGTGTAACTGAGCAGTGCTGTCTCACTCTGTTTTCCTCAGTCCTTGCACTATTTTTTCTTATCATATTGGATAAATTTCTGGAAATGCCCATCTTTAATAACTTTTTGCCAAAAATACATAGATGCAAATAATATATATTAACAGGCAACTTGCTTGACATCGTGTTCTTGAAGGCAGAAGAATTTGGGAGGTCCATGCCAATCTACACAGTAACTGCTTGACTTCTTAGAAGCCAGGTTAAATGCAAATGACTCAGAAAACAAAGATATAAATGTATAACAGTGTAAAAAGTTTAAAGGCATAAAATCTTGTTCTTATTATTTAGACCCAGCATATAACTGCAGACTGTCAGGAACCAGTGATAATAGCTGGCATGCTTTTTCCTGAAAAAAAGAAATACCTGAAAAATTGTATACAATCTCTTAATTTTCTGAGTAAAATTAATAGTTTTAGAAAGTGATTGCTGACAAATATTGTGTTTTTAACATGTATGCTTTTTGAGAAATTTATTGAGACTTTGATAAAAACTTGATAATGGCTAGAATGGTTGTGTAATTTTAACTGATTTAAAATAGTACTCAAACTATTTTTCTTTGAACTAATTGGTTTCATTTTTCTTTGAACTAAATGGTATACTCTTTAATTAGTAAAATAATACTGTTACTTAAACCCAGGTCTGTATCATGTCTATAAAAAGATATTTTGGCCAAGTAGAATCTTTAATTTAAATAAAATATTAAATATTTATTTATTGCCATTCTGGCAGCACTTTTTCATTTTTCTAGTCAGAAGAAGCGATGTAACTACTTGCACCAACGTAACTTGAGTGCTGCGTTTGGTGAAAATGCATGCTTTCTCCAGATATGAAAAGTCTATAGTATCTAGCACATAACTGATGCTGGAGTTCTCTAGGCTAAAGTTATGCTACTAATTTGAAATATTTTTATGCTAGTTACTCTGCTTGTAATGTTTATTTTAAAATTTGAATGATTCTTATGCATAAAAGTTCACAAGCTTTTTTAGAAATGCAGAGCATGACTTTCAGATGTAACATCTGCAATCATTACACCTCTGTAGGACTACAGGGATAAAACTGAAGGTGAACAGTGCTGTGGAAGTGTCACGGTGACCACTGACAGCATCAAATTTAGGCCCACTGATTTCTGATCGCTTTGACAAATATGGAGTGAAGAAATACAACAATTTTTGTCTCTTAAAATACTTCAGATGATGGAATGCTGGGTTGTCAGAAACGTCAATTGTGAAAATCATTCTTACAAGAAGTCAGTCAGAAGGTATGATTTTTTTCTTCTATATCATCTTGTACATATAATTTTACTTTCTTAAAGATATCATCCATCTGTATGATAGAATGTTAATATTGTTACTAATTGCCAGTCCAAGCAGGACCTTTTTTATAAAAGATGAAGAAAAAGGAAAGACAAGGCATTCTTTAAAATTCATATTGTATTATGGGACAGAATCTCATGTGTGTTCTTCAGGATGCAAGCATAAAAGAGGTAGCATTTCTGGAAATGCTATACCCTTAGTTTCTTTTTTTCCTTTTTTTTTTTTTTTTTTTTGACTATTATTCTTTCAAAAACATTTTCTGTTGGAGATGACATTTATCCCCTGCATGACTTCAGTTCCTGGTAGTTTACTGTGTTGGTCTCACGGCTACAGCTGAATAAGCTTTTAAAATGTTACCTTATCCTTGGCTTCTGATTATATTTTTTAGAAGTTCCATTAAGTTCTAATTTAGAAGAGGAAAAACATACAGGGAGGAGAAATAAGCAGAAGTCTCTATAAAAACACTGTTGGAGGTTCCAGAAATCAACTGAGAAAGATCCTAATTTTTACTGCTAGCATGAAGTATATATTTTTGCAGTAAATGTAAATAGTTGTGCATTGTGCATAGGATTCTGCGGGTTGTAAAAAAAAAGGTGGAATTCTATCATGCATCACAGGCAGTTGGGCAAGTAAAGTCTTTTGTGGCTGGGAAACTGTGCAAATATGCTTGGTGTCTCTAAACTGCTGAGGAAGGGGAAGTGTAACCTGTGAGAGACCATCAGTTACTTCTTGTGGACAACATCTGGCTCACTCATCCTTTACTTCAAGGCCAGTAGGTACTAATTATATTTAATAGGACCAATAATGCTGTTTTCTCTCCCTGGAGCATTGATAAATGAAGTTCACTTAAAACCTAGTCATGAAGAGGTTCTCTATTGCTGCTTGCATGCTATCAAATATTAAGCAGAACACCAGTGATTGAATTTAGGTAGACTGAATTAAAAACTACTGTTTTTACAGTACTGGAGAGCTGTTTTTAACCTCAGTAATCGTGAAGATTGAATTTGCCACATTGCCCCCAAAGCAGTTGGAACAGGAGTCAGTGACCAAAATACTGGTGCAACCTGGGAAGTGAGAGAACTTTTTAAACTAGATTAGCACACTGCGTACCTCCGCAACCTCTCTGCTTATGAAAGTAGTTCCTGTTCATCTGCTTGTTCCTATTAATGCCAGAAAACTTTCTGGGCATAATTACCCAGTGTTTCCAGGACTGGACCTTTTGGTTGAGTATTTGTCTCTTTTTTTAAATGTCAAGTGCTACCTATTCTTATAAATTCTCATCAGGAAATATTCTACTAGGTAGGTTCTAATATAGCTTTTCCTCTTTAGCTTGATGTTGTTGTTGCCAAGAAGGCTGAATATGGAATCTTAGTGAGAATGAAAAGAGATATTCCTACTTTCCAACAGTCAAATTACAATTTTTCCATCTGAGTCTCTGGTGAGAGGCTATCTATTTTAATTTGCATCTCTTGATCACAGGGAAAATAATCAATGGCAGAGTTTGTTCTTGATTTTGGAAATGTGTGATAGATCCAGCTAAGACAAGAATCTACTATTCCTCATCTTATTCTTAATACTATTCTGTGCCTGAAAATAAAAGTTCTGGTACTGTTGATGCATACTGCCTCACAGAAACAGGCTTTGCCTTCCATCTTCATAGACTTTTACTGATGTATAAAACAGACCTAAGTTTTTGTTCTAGATCTTGTCAAAAGAACAACCGTATTTCTCTCTTTTTAATATAATATAAATTTATATTAAAAAACAGCAATGAATATAAAAGCATAAAGGAATGAGACCTGAACATTTATTAGAAAAGACAGAACGTGGAAATGGGAACTTAGAGATGGAATGTTTTTCTGTCTTTGCCACTGATCTTTTGTGCAATCCTGGGCAAACTGCTTAGCTCTCAACACAGAGCACACTTAAATTTATAGTACTCGAAGTAGTTTCCCAAATCTAGTAAATAATCCATTTATGCCACTATTTACCTCATTGTGAACTGAAAATAATATGATTTCTTTAATTCCTCAGATAGGTATGAGGGTGTCTACATACGATCCTTAAAATGAATAGTAAATCTTTTGGAAATTTGTGAAATCAGTAAAAACAAAATTGTAAATCAATTTGTACTGTGAAATTGGTGCCCCTATCCACCTTAAGTTTTATGCCAGCTTTTTTTTTTTTTTTTTTTTTTGCCTGCTTTCAGGGGCTCACTGCTGCAATGAATGGCGCTTTCTAGGGAATGCAGCTGTTCAATCCTGGAATTAATATGTAAATGATCTTCTGTTATTGAAGTAAGGGAAGAAGATGGAATGTAGCTGTATTTTCTCTAATCAACATACTCTCCTTTTCATTGGGAACTACAACAAAGCTGACTGTCAGCCACACAAATAATCGAATATTTATTTTTGCAGAAATAAAAACATCCAGAAGGATGCTTTTTTTTGAAAGCTTTTACTGACCAACCCAAACATTATTTTGGTTCAGTGAAAATACATGTATTTAGAACTATTCACACACAAATCTCTCATGCTTTTTCAATAAAAAAATAGAACAAATGAAGTACGTTGGCAGAATGACAATTTCAGCTGCAAAAATGTAGTAGTACAGAACTGCAAATGTAATTACCACTGGTTTTTGAGGAAATGCAAACTCATATATTAGAATCATCTCTACTGTAATTGTCAAGTTCTGTCCTCAGTTTCACAAACAAGAGTTTCCCACAATCAGCTGAATTCTGATTTGTGATTGTTTCTCCGCAGGAAAGTTGAATAAAAATTCTACCTAGAGTAGAAAACATTTCAGGACTGCAAATAGCAGAGGTCACCAAATGAGCTATAGAGACTGCATCAATAATTCCCAACAGTGCATTAGTGGAGCAGAGAATATGATACAGGTTGTTATTCTGAAGATTGCTTTTGATATAGCATAATATATGATTAGACTGAAAATACATATTCTGAAACTAGTGTATGAAATGCCTTGTGAGCCTCTTTACTGATGTTTCATTTAGTTTCTTCCTTCTTAGCCTAGTGTTCACATCTTTACATTCAGTGGAAATTTCTTTGGACAGGTTGAGGCAACAGTAAAATAAACCTTCAGCAAAAAAAAATGAAAACAAGAAAACAAGAAAAAAGAACAACAACAAAAGAAAACAGGACAGATTTAAAGCTAAAAGCAAGATACTGAAGTCAAAAACAGGAACTTGAAGTCAATACAGAAAGCTATTGGAAAACAATGTAAAGATTGAGGCTGAAATTGCTGGCTGGGATCACCTAAGCCAACTTAATCAATACCTTGGCTGCTGAGTTGGGAATAAACAGAACTGCTTGTATATGAACAAAAATGTGATAACAGAACTTCAACTTCTAAGATGTGTAAGTTATGTAAACTTCCAATTGAGACAATGTGTTAACAGTGCAAATTATCCAAGCCCCAAATAGCTAATCAGATTACTGAGCCTGATCTACAAACAGCATTTTGACCTTTCAGAACAATTAAAGGACAAAGCTAGTTCTGCAGCAGTTAGGACACCCTTGAGCTGTAATGATAAAAAAATATCTGACATATCAGTCAGCATGCTGTGCGTGGTATGTGTCAAATTATGCAAGACTCAGCAGACAAATCTTCTTGGAGTTAAAATTCCTGTCATTGATTATGTCCTTTTAGAAGTCTTCTACTAAGAATTTTAGGTGATGACGTATAAAATTCTGTTTTTTTCCTTGTAGAATAGTTGTATATGCAACAATATGCGTGTGTCTCTACCTTACATGCAAGTTGGTGGCAGTAGGGGTGGTGATAATGCTTCACATGTTAAATCTTTCATGACAAAGCTGTTTAATGTTTAAGACCATTTAGAGGGCAGAAAAATCCTTCAGAAAAGGTATATGCTCACCATGGTATCTTTCCTTTCTTACTCCCCTGCCTTTCCCAGTCAGCTGCGTTAGCACATAGCAGCAGCAGTCAGCACCCACAGAACTTTTTCTCCTATTAGCTCCCTGGAAGCTGTTCCTGCCCTTTGATCCCAGAACACGTGATCTGTTAGTTTTATAGGTAGATGAGGTAAAGGAAGGCTTGGCATATGGCTCTGGTGTGAAGTGCTGCGGACAGAGGAGACCCTGCAGCCCTGTCCAGTCCTTGCTAGAGAGAAGATCCTGTGCGTGCAGTGCTATTTGGGCTGAGCCAGGCCATATCTCTTCAGGTGATTCCAAGCCAGATGTAAGACTCATGCTGAGAACACAGTGTTTCTGTCTAAATGTGTTGACGTTACTGAGTACTTGGATGTCTAGCAGCATGGTCCTGCTGTGGAGTTTCTGTATGCTTGTGTGTCTAATACACAATTCCTACTTTTATGGTGTCTCAAGGCATTTAGTCATTTTTTGAAGAAGGCAGCACTGGGATGAATTCTACAATTTCCTTCACTGATTTTTTTATTATCCTCAATGGAAATGACAACTTTGAACACAACAGTAAAGTAGGTTTACAATTTGGAGATTTTTTTTCTATAGTGTATTCAGCATACTTCCAATATGTTTTCTTTATTTCCTCTCCTTCCAGTCCATTGATTTTAAAAATATTTTTCTGTTATATGCGGAGTGCGAAACAGATAGCATTAGAATTTTAGCTGAACTTTTAAAACTATGCAGTTTGGATTGGTATTGTATTTAACAAACCTATCCTGTATTTAATTCATTCCCAGCTGAAATTTTTCTGAAGGGCAGAAATGCTGGATGCAGTGTGTTTGGAGACAAATCATCTGTAGAGCTCAGGCACCTTCCATACCAATTACTTCTACAGCTTCAAATCCTTCACATATTAATAACAGGTTGTTAGAACCAAAGTTATTTCCATTTGGAGTATCTGGAATGGTTTGTGATAAATGAGTGATAAATTAATTTTTCACCAAAATCTCCTCTTGAATTTAGAATCTTCAGCAGTCTCTCAGGAATGCAATTCATCTTTGCAAATTTCTGCTTGCTTTACATGCTGTCATCCTCTTTGTTTCTTGAGTAAACTCTGAATGAATAGCAGAATATCAAAATACTATCACGTTCTCATCTTCAACAAAGCTCTCTTCTTTCTAGCTTTTGTTATCTTTGACATGATCACAGATATCCTGTATTAATTCACAAGCAACTGTATGCAGACAAGCATCTGCAGTAATGGATTTCTGAACCTCCAAATGAATTTTCATCATTGAAAAAGATCTGTCAGAATCTTTCTCATCAAGCAGCTGTAGTTCTTGCCTGTACAAAACCACGGACTTCTAATTCAAAGACAAAAGTTTTAAGTCTGTTGTTTATAGTCATTTGTGCTGGGTTTTATTCAGAAATGTTCTGGGCTGGGAAGGCTGTGTGTGTGTGTGTGTGTACATCATATATGTAGATAGATTTTTTGATTGGACTTGGTGACTATATGTGTGCATATGAATAACATTGAATAACACAGTTTGAGTGTGATATGTTGCTCATAGTCATTCCTTTGCCTAATGTTTTTATTGTAGTAGTAGTAGTAGTAGTAGTAGTGAGATCGATGTGAAATGAGTTAACCTTAAGAAACTTCTCTATGAAAATTCTCTGTGAATGGAAGTCAAATACCTTCTCTGTATATACATCCAAAAATTCAAGCACCTGGTTATTGAAGAAATAAAAATGTATGCTCAACAGCAAACAGAACCTTTCAGTTCTGTGTAAAGCTTGTATTTTAAAGAGCTCTATAGACAAAATAATAATTAGTCTGTCAGGAAAGTATTCTGGCTCCATTACAGTAGTTACAAAGTATTCAACTGCACAATAAGTTGATGCAACAATAAGTTGAATGCAACAGAAGCAGTTACACATTTAAGAGTGCTGGGCAGCAAGAAGTTAGCACTGGTGTGAATGTTAAATTAGGTCTAAACAAAGAAAGCTCAAACATCTTCAATAACATCTTGTGCTCTGATTCTCTGGGAAGTGAAATGGTCTTCAATGGCAGAAACTCAGACAGCTGCATTCAGAATGTCAGCAGAAAGCGATGGAAATAGCACTGATGCAGTGTCTGAATTAGATCCATGGAAACTCTGCAAGAAAGGCAGTGCTTTCTGGGCAGGGTAGAGCTTTTTGGGCAGTCACACTGTCAACAGAATCTGATCTATCCTTCCCCTCTCTAGAGTTTCCATTCGTATTAAGTTATGTGGGACTGTTTTCAATTCTACACATATCCCCAAACAAGTCAGCTTGTGGTTAAATTATTTATACCGAGAGTTGAATTCAGTGTTGCATGAGAAATGTGTTCACTTCAATACAACCTAGGTGTGGGGTAGAAGAGTAGAACCTTGATCAGTTAAATAGGATTTTTCAGTGTACTCTATTGTAAATTGAGTTTGCAGAGTGGCATTGAGGGAAAGGTAAAATAAAGCAGGTTAAAAAGTGAGTCAAAAATTATTTTTTAGCATATGCTTTTTCTAAACCTAGTGTTGCAGGGATGTTGATGTGACACTGACTGATAGGATTACGGTATTGATATTGAAGGAGTTATAAGGGACAGAAATGAGAGTTCAGAGTTAAGTTTGAGAGACGTTTGGGAGGAGTGTTTGTGACCTTTCTCAACCTGTAAGCAGCAACACTAATTTTTTTAAGCCCGTAATTACTAGTTGAAGAAATTGATCCGGGGATAGCAATGGTTCATTATTTCTTTGTAGTAGTTATACCAGACACCTTGTAGAATCACTTCCTGGGGAGAGAGGGATTATTGCATTTTAGCTTAAATCACTAGTTCTAGAAATTGCATGGAAAGTCATCTTTAACTTGTGTGGTTGTTTATCTCAAGTTTATTGAAGACTTTCAACTGTAACCTAGAAGACACAAATTTTCAGACTGATTTTTCCTGTTGCTGATAGAGGTATGACTTAGAGGCAGGCTTTGAGAGCATAGTGTACAACTATGGGCAAATGGAATTAGAGGGTTTAGAGCAGTTGAAGATAAATTATATTGCTACAGGTTCAGGGTGGGCAGCTTGCCTTGCCTTTTCCTTCTCTGGCCATGCAAATTACAGTGTGAGAAATAGCTTCCATGCTTTTTTTATAATGGAACTTTGTTGCACCTGAAATTACATTGCAGAAATACTATTCTGAACTCTGGCTTCCCAGTGGAAGACTTAGGTCAAGCAAAGTAGCCTGGAGGGATACATTTACCTGATTAAATTTGATATATTCTATGTATCTTTTTTTTTTTTTTTTTTTTTTTGCTTCTAGCTTTCCCTTACTACATTTATTCTACAAGCCAGTAATCAACTTCCGCACCCACATATTAGAGTGATTATTATTTTATGATATATAACATCTTACATTTAAACCTCACTGTTCTTTTTATGTAAACATAAGATGGGAAATGTTTAAATTCGTACTTTGAGATAAAATGTAACATACATACATAAAAAGACAGCTTTAGACTTGTATTGCCTTTATAAATTAATGCCTGTTACAAAAGAAAAAATTGCTGTCATTGAAGCCACAAAATGTGCAATTATGAATCATCAGACGCAGCCAACTCTTTCATTTTGTTCTCTCTAATAAAAAGAACTGTACACTGGAAAAAAATCTTTTTTAAAAAAAAGGCAAAACAAGAGTTTGAAAAAAAATCCCAGATCTCTAGGTGTTAAAAATATTTCAATGTATTTTTAGTTGAAATTGAACTAAAAGATGAGAAATATCTCAGACTAAGAACACACTGATGAGGAGAAAAAAAAAGTTTATCAAGAAAATCTTCAGTCATTTTCTGAAAATGGCATTTCGGTGTTGTTTAATAACCCTACTGAAGTCTACATTCCAGTGTGTTTGCTTTTTTAAATTGTTGCCACTTTGGCTGTTTTGTAGTGCTTCCCTTGCACACTGCAACCAGAGAACCACCTTCATTGATGTCCTAGAGCCCTCCCAGCCCTCTGCTTGCTAGGCAACAGCATCCATGTGGCTGCAGATCAAATAGAACACAGGAAACTACTGAACTTCCCCATAGTTTTTCTGTTAGTAGCAATAATCGTTACTTTTTTGTGCACAGCTATCAATTTATGAATTTTCTTGACTTCTTTGGGGGATTTTACCTTTGTACAAATATGGTGGAAATATGCTGATATATTAACAAGTTATTAAGTTCAGGTGATGGAACTTCTGGAGAATTATAATCTACTCTCATGAACCCATTCTGTATGAAGCACTATCTGAAAAAATAAGCAAACCAAAATATTTATTTTTTTTTTTAAGCAAATATTTTAAACAGATTCATTTCAGTTTTGCAAAATTTTAGCCTTGTTGAATATAACCCAAAGTTCCTCATTAACCCTGTGAACTGAACATAGAGAGGCAAATATGTTTCAGTAAGGTGGGGTATTTTTCACATGCTTCCCAAGTTTATTTCAAGTTTAATTATTTCTCTATTTAACTATGAAGAAATCAATATAAATATATTTCAGATGAGCATAATAAACTGTTATATTTGTGTTGGTTGGTCTATGTTTTGCCATCACCTAAAAATTCCAAAGCCTACAAAATTTTGTTTAACTAATGTTATTTTAAAAGTTTATTGAGTCAATAAAACAGACTTCAGCATAAAACAGTCATTCTACATTATCCTGACCTAAACTTTCTCCTTAACTACTTACTGGGGAAAAAAAAGTTACAGAAGAAAAAATTGTCATCTATTTTACTTATAGGTCTTCTGCAAGAAAAATCTGCAACTAGTTTAATGAAATATGCTTTTTAAGTGAGGTGATAGCAAGAAAAACATTGGGAGCCAGTTTAAATAAATTAAGATGTATCAAAAAGATATTCAAAGATGATTAGGAGACTGAAAATATAAATAAGAGCATTGGCTAGATTTTTTTGAGTGCTTAAGTTAGATGTCTTTCTCCTACTAATTTCAATAGGATTTAACTATCTAGCCTGCCTAAGTGATCTTCAAAAATAACACAAGCTGCCTGTCTGCATCACTGGGTGCCTAAACACTTTTGAAAAATTTGTTCCTGCATGTCCTTAATAAAGAAAAATGACACATCAACGTGTAAGAGTGTATTCCCAAAGCAGGGAAAACTCAAAGAACGGCATATCAGAAAAATGCCTCCTGAGTTCGTTGCAGGTGACTCCATTGCTGATTCCTAAGTTTGCAATGAGATGCAAGATTATCTTGGTCTATTAAAATACTCCAGAAGTATTTTCTGCCTGTCCGATTATGCCTAACAGTCAAGGTTTATGTAAAAACTGCAGTAAATCAAATATATTCTCAGTGTACTCTGAGGTATTCAAGACTGTATTTCTTTTGCTGTGAGTTGCACCTGATACTGGAGATTAAACACTTCACTGATCTTTGCAATATTTAATAAAGTGCCTTATTTAAGAAAATATGTTGTACGTTAACTATCCATGGATCACAACATAGTGTCTATTGAAATTTAATTAGCGTAAGTAGCATATCCAGTGATTCATGTAATTAATTGCAGATTACATATTCAAAAATCAATGTTTTTGTTAGTGGTATGAGTAGTATAATGAGTACTTAGGCACTGAGATATCTAGATGTAGGAGCCCTAGCGAAGGTGTCGTTTAATGCATCAAACATCCATTCCTTTTCTATCTTTGATCAGAAAAAGTAGCAGCAGCATAGAAATTTACCTGAATGTTTTAGCTGGGATAAATTATAGTCTGTCTCATTTTACTTGAACACTTTTGTGTTTAAGTGAGGATCCTCTGCGTTTTGTAGGCTTAAGAAAGAGTACAGATTTGATAACAATATGCCCAAGGCCCAATTATAAGCGAGAACCAGAATGAAGCTCTTGAAAGATAGAAGCTAGATCTGCAGAATCAGTTATTATTGGTATTATCACATGAATAGCCAATTGCTACAGTGTTGTGCGTGCTGTTTTTGCGTCAGGACTGGAATTACTTTCAAACTATTGCTCCAAAAACATCATTATACAAAGTATACCTCTGCCTTGTACATAGATGTAACATCAAGGCATAGGAGGCTATAGGAAAAGCAAGATTATTTTCTTGAAATTTGAAGACTTCTGTTGCTGTTAGCTCTAATAATATGTATGGATAAATGCGATCATGTATGAAGGTCCTTTGCTTTGGTGTCTGCCATGAAAGCTGCTGTAGATCAGTGCAGTGATAAAACTGAAGACATTTTTCTTCTGAGTGTTCATTAACTGTGGAAAGGAATGTAGATGTGTTATATTCTCAGATTGGTAGTTAGGCCTTTAATGTATCTTTAGTACAGTAAAATGAACAAAAATGAGATCAAGTCTTTGAATTCCTGCAACTAAAAAAGGAAACTGCAAAGCTGTTTTAAAGAATACTTTTCAGAATAGAAACATGCAATAATAACCTGATTGGCACTTGTATGGATGCTGAAAGCAGCATTAACGTTTGTCTTTATTGTTTCTATTCAATTCACAGAGATAGCAGCAAATAGTCATACTCAGTTGATAACTTCCTCTCAGATTATTGCATCTTCCTTCACTATTATAAATGTTATTCCATATTCCGGCAGTTGCATAATAGATTTTAAGCATCAGCTCATTACCATCCACATGAAAGTAAACATATAACCCGAGTACGCAGTCTAAAGTTGCAGTTAGCATTGTTCTTGACATCATGTCTGATTGAGAGGAATTTTATGTTCCGGA